TTTCTGCCTCAGCAAGTACAGGACAAACCAGGTAACGCAGTGTGTGTAACAGTGCATTGTAGTCTTATCTCATTTGCTGTCTTTTTCCACTGTATGTTACTTGTAACCTGTGTTTGTGTTTGTAGAGATCAAGTCATTGACGGGTATGGTTCGTCATGGTATGGGTTCCTTCTTGGTCTTTGTTGGTCTGGATGGAACCAAAGAGGAGTTAGGGATTGTTTCTACCAACTTCTGGATGTACAAAGACAACGACTTGGATTCATTGTAGGTTTCTTTATATCTTTTTTTTTCCTTCTTCACCTTGTATCCTTGTAGTTTGATCTTACTTCCATTGCTCTGTTCTATTGTATCTTTCATTTTATGGATTTACCTAATGCATTTCTCAATGTGTCTGTGTCTGTCTACATAAAACTATGCATGAAGAATGGAGCGATACTCTAGCCTGAGCAGAGAAGAGGTATTAGGGAACATTCCCATGATGTTCATCACCTTCCCATCGGCTAAAGATCCCACATCCAGCATCAGACACCCAGGTAACACTCAGGCACATGTACATTAATGTATACTCGCTACTTGGTCATCAAATCTGATCTTTGTCACCTTTGATTCCTCTCTTTGCTCTTTGAGTCTGTATATTCCTTTCTGGATAGTGTAGCTTCCAGTCAAAAAAATGCACGGCTGGACTAATGGTCTAAAGTAATTTATTCTGTCTTTGCAGTTCGACCAACGTAAGAGACAGACACAGACTTGATATAAACAGGTCTCGCAAAATAAGTCTCATAAAAACACACTGCCACTACAAACCTACACACCTCAAATATCACACATACTCACACATCCGGGACAATAGTGACACTGCAAACACGTCAAACTATGAGCAACAAATAGCGGGTCTCTGAATTTATATGAAGCCTCATCAATTACAGTTAATTAATCTATGGCTCAGGGATTGAAAACAACAACAAACAAACAAACAAAAAAGATTACAGCAAAAGGCCCATAACCTTAGCCAATCCTTCACATGGGAAAAAACAGTGACAGTCAATGTTACACTCTCGGACAGTCCTATTAAAAATAAATATAATATTAAGCTGTGGCCAAACACATTTTAGGAACCATTGTTTTCATTATATTATCAACTCAATATGCTGTACCTTTAACTCATTCAGAGCTGCAACGTGCTTAATATCAGAGCGCTACTTCCATTGTCCCCCTAAATAAGGCACGTTACACTTTCTTGGACGAGCAACACAGTTGTTCGAGTGAAGAGTGAAGGACTTTACTACCGTTAACGTGCCCCTGCACATATTCAACTGGCCAAAGTTTACCCACAAGCAACAATTTTACTGGACAACCCAGGATCGTTCACTCAAGGAGATAAATGAACTGAAAATGTTGCATCACTCTTTCTTTATTCCCCTTCCTATCTCTCTGCAGGTAAGTCCTGTATGACATTGCTGACCATGGCTCGCTATGAGTGGTTCGAGGAATGGGAGGGGACAAAGCTTGGCAAGAGGGGACAGGACTACCTGGATATGAAAAACAGCATGGCCCAAGAGCTGCTGGAGTGGGCGCTAACCATCTTCCCCCAGTTGCGAGACAAGGTATATGTCAGTGCTTGCATGTAGTTGTTTATGTACTTGTGCCTTCATACGGTTATTTACACAGTAACATCTCTTGTATCCATACTCACATACACATTTACACTCAGCAGAACAGTACGTTAAGCTCTCACTTTCGCTGATTCAAAGTCACCAGTAACAAAGCAATTCAACAGTACAGGCCTAGACTACCAATATCATTAGCTCTCAGGTAATGTTATATAGCTCCCCATTGCATCTTTATCAGATATTTCTATGCAGAGTGTAATACTGCCGTGAGAATTTGTGTTAAATTCCTGCACACTTGATGAATGAGTTGATCAAATCTACATCTAATCCTATCCTCTTATCAAACTAACCACAATTTAAGAGGTCAAAGAAAGTCTTTTGCAGTTGCATGTTAAAATTAAAATTAAAATTGGTTGCTTTGTCAAATCGGCCTGCTGGTATGTCGTTTGAATTAGAGCACAAATTATGCTTTTAAATGAAAAATTGGTCAGACTATCACTGTAAAGATACACTAGTTGATATTTTGTATTTTTGACTACATGTAATGTGAAAGGCATGTAGTCACACGTCCGCAGAGAACCCACACCAGACTCAGTAAGACTTTTTACACATACGGTGATGGTTTGAATTTCTACAGTTCTGTAATCGCCATCATCTACTGTCAATTTTCCTTTTCCCTGCCAGTACAACGTGTACATACTGTATGTGTATGTATGTTCAGGTGGTGATGGTGGACGCTGCCACCCCTCTAACAAATGTCCACTATTTGGGCGCTCCAAGAGGTGAGATGTACGGCGCTGAGCACAACTTGGAACGCTTCACCCCAGAAACGGTTGCTAGGACACGACCACAGACGCCGATCGATGGGCTCTACCTAACAGGTGACTTGACGGGACAGTTTCAAGTGTAGATTCTACAGAGATGTGACAGGTGTGCTCAGCGTTTGTTTGTGTGGGTTTGTGTGTGCGCAGGTCAGGATGTATTCTGTAACGGCATGGCTGGAGCTCTGCACGGCGGACTGCTCTGCGCCTCTGCTGTCCTCAATCAGATCCTCTACATTGACCTTCTAGCCCTGAAGACCCAGCTCAAACGCAAACAGACCAATCATAAGCTGATCTAGCAGCGACCGGGTTGTAGTATAAATGCACATAAATGCTGTTAAATTAATGCTTTACACACACACGCACACTTTACACCTGATTCTCAAATTGAGCTCAATTTCTGGTGTTATTTTAGGATATTTTTTTGTTTTCCATCGGATACCATTGTATCGTGACAATAGTAAAGGAATCTTCCACACTGAAGCTAGCAGGTAGAACACCGGCTGTGGCAGCTCTAATGGAGGAGATGGATGAATTTAAACCCAGAATGACCTACATATGGCCTATTAAATGTGCAGCAAACTGATTTAAAATAATAATCTGTCATTCAAAAGAACGTAGGCGTTAGGCCTCTGCATTCAGGGCTTCATCCCCGGATGTTTTATGAATAGCCCCGGATCTCAAAGATATAAAAAATATGAGGTGAACATGGCATTATCCTGAAATGCAGGAACAGCGGGGAACTTACGGAATAAAATGTCAAACCCAATAATATGAGCAACGTTGCAGAAAGATGCAGAAGCACGGACTGATTTCCATAAACCTGTTGGTGAATGCTGCACTTATCCTCCTGCCTCAAAACATTTCCATTTATCAGTGTTGCATTGTCAGAGAAAACTCATTTTCCAGACTTTTAGGTATGTCAAGCTAAAGCAATACAGTTGAATACAACAACTCTGCTGTTCATTTGTTTGTGCTGCTGTTTAATGCTGTTGTGTTGTTTCTATAGTCAGTCTACACTCATTTCACCCACATAGGATACACAAAATTAAAACCTCCATCGTGGAAATCATGGCGTCTATTTTAATGTTTTTTTTTAATGCAAGTAACTGCAGGAAGTTTTAACACCATCAGTTAGAGCAATACTTCAGCTGTTCCAGACCGCAAGTGCAACACCATATACCCACATTATACTTTTGCTTTCTTTTAAAAAGGCTGAAATGTCAGTGTAATTTAATGTTCCCACAGTAAGACTGGTCGCAGACATGAAAACATGTTCAGTTGCACGTATATTATTGTAATTTCCTCGGTGTAGGGGAAAAGGGCGTATCAGGTGTTTGTTTTTTTTCTTTTTTTGTAAGTGACTATTAAAGAATTGGTACCTAAAGAACAACACTTAAAAACAATATCACACAAACTGCATGTTGTCAAAAAACAATATTAATTTGTGAATAATTCACCCTTTAATGACAGGAGTTCTTGTTCGGAAAGGAGTATCCTGCAGAAATGTGCTGCCTTTATGGCCCATTGGCATTGTAGCTGATAAATGGAGCCACACTTTTGATGTCAGACATTTTTACACCTATTATGCAACACACAATGAAGCCTGGGTGTAACTGGATGTATTCTCTGCATGGCTGTACAAAGTGTTTGTGTAACATTATGTTAGACAGACAATCAGCAGCATTATTAGATCTTGCTACAACCATGCTGCGAGCTTATTGGCTCACTGAAGCTGATGATATTTCCTCCTTAGTTACAGGAATTTGGTGCCAAATAACGAGGCTTTTTTTGATACCCAATAGTAGCTAAGCACAGAAAGCTGTTTTTGTGCCTTATATGGTTAATAAAACTGCTTGACAAAGTGTGGGAAAAGTGTGTGTGTGTGTGTGTGTGTGTGTGTGTGTGTGTGTGTGTGTGTGTGTGTGTGTGTGTGTGTGTGTGTTTGTGTGTGTGTGTTAAAAAGTGTACCACTTCCTTCACACATTAGATGTTGCATATTTCTCACACAAAATAAACCAAGCTCAACCTCAACATCTTAACATTTTATTATCGTCATTAATCTCATCCCAATGAAACTTGAACATATGGATCAGGGCATATAGATTTATATTTAAATTTAAAGTTACACTTTGCACTAATTTTTGATGAGTGACAAGGAAACTATACCATACTATAAACCAAGCAGTCACTTTTGCTTTGAAATATCAGTGCTCAACAAGTTTAGTTTCAGATAAACATTAAAACATGTTCAATCACACGTTTCTTACTTTCATTTTAATGTGTAGGGGAGACAGGCACAGGTAGTATATCTATGTTTGTATGAAGAAAAAAGTGACTGAAACTATGAAATAAATGTCAAATAAGTGAGTTTTCCTTAACAAGTATAAATATATATTAATGTAGTACAATATCTTATATGGTCACAACGTTTCCTCTTTATAACCTCTGATAACTTGATAATGAAAGGGTTGTTGAGTAGAGGGAGGGTCCTGTAGTTTCTTCCTGTCGTCCATCTCCTTTATAAGGAGATTACCTAAAAGCCTGACAGCCAGAGCGTCCACGGTCCTTCAGAAGTGTTCTTCCACGGTAAGAATTGCTTATTAAGTTGAAATATTGAAATGACCTCTTACTCTGTCTGGACTTGGAGGAAAGCTCCAATTTTTTGCATCTGTCTACTGCATGAATGAAGGGTATGTTTTGTGCTCCTGTGTCTGTCTGTCTGTCTGAACAAGTTACCTTGTCATTCAGTGATTATGCCTAAAGGAACTGATATCATGGACACAGCGATGACAGTTGTCAGTGAAGTTGCTGGAGTCCTTCCAACACACCGTCAGTGCTCCATTCAGATCACAAATAAATGCTCAAACTACACCCTGTCTTTCCCCAGGTAACTGCAGTTCTTTTCTGTCTTACATTAAAATCAGTTTATTATTTCATATATCATATATATCAATTTATTAACACTTTTCCACTGTTTCTAGTCTACACATGAACAGTGGTTGGTGCGTGGAGATGCTGCCACCCACAATCGACCCCTCTTCAGTTGGGAAGGGACTGTTCAGCAAGACTGCCGACACTGCTCGAGGAGCTGTTGGCATCTTCACCTACGATGTCCTCAACAAATCTACAAAGGAGTCCACTGAGAAAATAGCTGTCATGTTCTCCGTGCCCTATGACTTCAACTTGTTTTCAAACTGGTTTGCAGTGGGAATCTTTGACAAGGAAACACAGTGTGATCATGATCTGTATCATAACATGTACAACAACCAAGAAAACACATTTGCCAGAAAGAAAGGAGGCTGTTGTCTCAGTTACAAGAGTGATCAAATTACCATCTTGGCTACAATGTCAGACTCTTTCCAACCTGATATGAAGGTTGAAGTAAGTGACAGCTGAAATAAGAGAATTAAATAGTGCTAAGATGTAGCGCAAACCTGGAGCTACTTAATACCACATTTGTGCAATTTGAACTGTATTCTGCTTTGCTTTTCATTGAATGAATAATTTTCTCTTGTAATTTGCCTCAGAGCATGAAGAATCCGTAATGACTTCTGTGCTATAGAAACTGGAAACTAGATTACTATGATTTCAGCTGTAATGTCTTGTGATGAAGTAAACTGTGTTATAAATTGCTTTTATTTTTTTCACTGTAAAGATCAAACATTCAGTAAATCTGCAAAGTCAGTCCTCTTCTGGGTGTGGTCATTCTCAACCATGAGTTCCGTTTTTGAAACAAATAATCTGCAGTATTACTGAGTCAGATGAGAGAGTGGTCTTCCTACGCATACATTAGTTCAGTTGTGACTGTACTTGAATACATACAAACTGCATATTTGTAACAGATATTTCACCAATGAAAATAAGCAACTTTTATTTATAAGTTTTATATAATTTTAAGAAATACACTTATTTTCTTTCTTGCTGAGAGTAAGGTCATAAGATTGATTGATTGAACAGGCCAAATCTGTTTTTTTTTAAAGAAGCTATGTGTAACTTTTGCTATCGCTAAATAGCCAATGTTAGCATTAACAGCTGGGTAGGGCTACCGGTTCAGGACAGACTGGATGCTACAGTGACTGGGTGTTGGAAAGTGAGGAGGACCAGGGCTAACTGGTTAGCATGCTAACTTCAGTAGAAGAAAAGAAGTGATAGAAATAAAAACAAAACAAGAGGGTTGCTTTCCACCTCTGGAGACAGCTCTTGGTGAGTAAAGGAATAAAGTTTAATGCTGAACTTGCAACATTTCTTCTAGACCGGTAAGTAAACAGCTTGGTAACGTAGCAATTACAAAATTTACAAATAGCTCCTATAAACTGTACATAAACCTAAGTGTAAATATGACAATCAGCCATTTTAAGGACATCATGAACCAAACTTTGTCTTGTCTCTTGTGAAGAGAAGTGGTGGGGGAAAACTGTGCTTTTAATAGTCATGTTTTCTTTTGGTTTCCTTTTCATGTAGTACAGAACATGTGGTATAATTGAGTACCCTAAAGTCAGCGACCAAAGTACACTATACTTTTGCTTTATTTCACGTGACAGTGAACTTACATTGAACTTTGGTTACTGAGTTTTCCACAATGCAGCTATTCAATTTGACACCACAGCTGAGATGTTTGTTTCCCTTTAAGGTTGAATAAAACATCTCAACATCTTAATATTTTATTATCTTTTATCAATCTCATTCCACTGAAGCTTGAACATATTCATTAGGGGCATCCATGGTAAACCTGCAGGTCTCCATTTTTGACCTTGGTGAGCCAGGATTCATCTTCTTTATTGGTCTTGTGAATGGCAGCAGAGTCTTCCAAGGCTGAGTCTCTTCCAGACTTGTGATTGGTTGCTCTGTGATGAGACTTGACTTGGCCACCATATTCATGGCAAGGAAGAGAGTAAGAGAGATGACACAGCCCGTTCTTATTCCTCTTCCAAGCCGATACCAGTCCGATGTTTCTGGCCCAGAAGTGACCCTCAGCTGAAAATCATTGTAATAATCCACGATCCGGTCCTTGATCTTGCTGGGAACATGGTGGCAGTGTAGTGTGAGCTTGACCAGTCTATGCGCTATTACCTGTAGAAAATTGCCAGGAGGTCCAACCATAGGACGACAAGGTACTGTCTGTTTTCATGGTCTTCTCTGATGAGCTGCATGACTACACCAGTGTGCTCCAAATATGCAGGAACAGTAGGAACCCCACTGTTCACCCAGGGCCCAATTTAGCCATTATTGAAGAGAAACTTGGTCAATCTTTGGGAAACAATGCTGAAAAACACCTTCTCGTTGACACGCAGCAGTGAGATTGACCAAAACTGAGTGATGTTCTCTGAGTTTTCCTCTTTGGGGATCTAAACTCCCTCAGCACATCTCCACTGGTCAGCAATTCTCCCCCTTCACAATACCACCTTAAAGTTTTTCCATAGGTGTTGACGGAGGACTGGGCAGCGTTTGCAAACTGTGTAGGGTATGTCACTGGGGCTTAAAGGAGAGGTTGAGCATGCCACCTTGATGACTTCCTCAACGTCCTTCAGACTCTGCTCCATCAGACTGAACTCTGTTCTTGAAAGTGCTCTGCTGACGAGAGCTTTGTTGGGTTTCAGTTCCTGTTCCCTCATTCATAGTTTCATGGCAAACATTTGGTAAAATCAAAGGCAAAAAAAAGGCAAGTTGTTACCCAAGTATCCAAGTATGGAGTACAATCTTTGCTGTATAACACATAAATCTTGATCTAAAAAGAATAATGTTTATTTTGTTAGCCAAGAATTTAGACTCTCCATTGCAGGAAGATATTTTATACCCTTAGCAGACAACCATTTGTCTGAAAATTGTACTTATTTTATTTTATTTTGATGTATTCATCAGCAGCAACTGTGCATTTAAAATGAATACGCTTTTATTCTGAAAACATCCTTTCCGCCGGCCAGAGCAAAGACAATACTTCCGGTCTGTGTGAGAAAGGCGGATTCGGCGGCCCTACAGAGGGAACAAAGGACGATTGACTGAGTACGTTTACGCTGTTTCCAGCACTATTACTTGAAAATGTAACATTTTTTGCCATTTCTTAACTTTGGTGTAAAAATACTTAAAATATATTTGCGTTGCCTTTTAGTGATTTAGCTAGTAATGGTTATTACCTCCATGTGCAGAGCTAGCGGGAGCTGGTATTGTTCCTTACTTTAGCTACAACAGCGAGGTTTATTCAATCATCCTGCAAGCGTTGCACACTTCAGAAGTGGCAGTCGGTCTGTACAAACGCGTATTTTGTGTGTACACGGGTTCAAAATTATTCCAAATTAACTAATTAGATATGAACTTCAATATTATGGGGCAAATGGTCTCTTTGTGTTAGCAGGTTTGGCTAGTAGGCCAGGCCGGGTATGCTAGCTTTTAAGGCCCCGTCAGCCGTTGTTGTTGTTATTAATGGTTACCAGCGGTAGTCAGTCATTTTCCGGTTTCTTGTTGCTGCTTTGCCTAACAAGCAACTAAACTGTAATAGCTGAGTGATTGCAGTTCAATTAATGTGGGTGATTTCTTTGTCTTACCCAGGTTAACCAGTATAAAAATGGCCTGTTCCCCATAACCCAATCTGCAGCCACGATGTCAAGTAAGTACAAATACATTTTACTATTGGTGACGAAAATCCACTTAATGGTGGTGGTTGTGTTCCTATTGATATTACAGAGAACATATTTCATGGTTTTGTAAATAACGACCAATCATTAGTAACTGGTTTCCTTTGCTTTCATTCATTACCGTTGCCCTTTTTTTTCTTCGTTCAGAGACTCGATCACCAAATCAAATGTTAACATTTTGTTTTAGTTGTTAATATTTGTAGATGTAATAACAATCCTATCATTCTTGGGGTACTGGAGGGACATTGCTTGATATCAGTCCAATTTACATGTCTGTCTGTTCTTGCCACATCATTTTTTTTCACGAGGTTGGGATAATAGGAACAACAAGATAGTGAGCTGATCAGATTTAAAAATTCATAGTGTGTGTAAAAATGGCCTTCCTGGTCAAATTTAGGTAGATTCTATCTACTTGGATTTAAAGGTTTGGTTCAGCTAGATGTCTCCAGGACCACATTTTGTCGTGTTGACGCAGTTTTAAAAATACTCAACATTCATACAGCTGTTTGTTCAGCAATACATTTGAGGTAGAAACTAAAGAAACTGATCTCCCCCCAGTTACACTATAAGTTTAATAGCCCATAGGAAGATGCAGTGCCTGTGAACATCATCTGTGACGTGAAAACATCTCATTTATATACTCACGATATCTCACACCATATGTGATATTTTTCATAATAATGAAAAAAGTGTTTTTTTTTTCTCAGTGATACATTTTATACTAGAAAAATTAGGTCAGACTCAGGGGCTCATTGACTGATGAGTTGTGTTACTGATGTTTAGGTGGCAGACCCAGTGTAGAGGGATTTTATGAGGCAAAAACTATCAATAAAATATATAAACCATACGCAGTAGGTTGATGTAATAACTGACTAACATTACTTTTTTTCTTTCTCGAACAGAACGACCATCCTACGCCCCTCCCCCTCCCCCCGCCCCAACAACAGTAAGTGGACAACTCTGGGTTCCTGTCTTATTAACTATGTAGTAGCCAGGGGCTGCGCTAGGTCACTGTTAGTACACGTTAGTACACTCTTTGGTTCCTATTTTATCTTTCTTTCATACTGTCTTACTCCCTCTTTATCCACTTTTTATATTTCTTTCATTTAATTTCTTCTGTCTGAAGACACAGAAGTTGGCACAAATCTTGTTCAGCCTCCCCATCATCGCTCTCACTCCTGCTTTCTCCTGTCATACCACCACTTATTGAAGGTCTTGCACAGATGGGGTCAGTTTGCCTCGTGTGCTTTTACGAAGCATTGTTGCTACTGGGGAACAAGTTCCTTTGAAATCTGTTTTTAAGAACTTAAAGCTTTTAATGTTAGTAGACTTGCGTACAGTGAAGGAATCAACATGCTTGTTTTGTTGCTTTTCATTTCCTTACATTCAGCAGCAGGGCACAACATGTGTAAAGTTGAGGTGCAATTGTACAGTCAACAAATACAAGCAACTTGTGCTTTAGAAGGGATAATTTGAGCTCGTTGCAAGGTCTTGGTTCACATGTTGTGCACACACTCTGAATGCCAGCCTGCCGAACAGTTGACGCCATGGAAAACAAACAAACAAGCAAAAACATATATTTTCATGTTTCCCCTCCCTTTTCACTTATTTATGTTTATCCCTCTTCCTCTTGTTTGTGAGCCATTTCTCATTCGTGTTTTGTCTCATTTGTCTTCCATCAGCAAATGCCTTCCACCCCTGGGTTTGTGGGCTACAACCCTTACAGCCATCTGGCCTACAACAACCTCCGGCTGGGAGGGAGCTCCGGAGGCTCCAGCAGGGTAATGAATTGATGGAGGGAGGGTATGGGGTTTAGGGGAAGTAAGCAAATGTCATGGACTAAATACACAGGTATGAGGAAAAGGTGGAAAGACAGCGGCATTAAAATTAGGCTCATATGGTCGGGCTCATACAGAGGCTGTTGGGATGATGAAGATGACCAAAAATGATAGAACGTATATATATATATATATTTGTAACGATGGTCTCAGGCTATTTTAATAACTTTTATATGGAAACAAAGAAGAATAGTTTTGCGAAAACCAAAGATATTGGGAAAAGATGTTAAGGATTTGATCAGTGGGAACTTAATGAGATGTGAATTTGTAACAAAGGGGATATAACCTTCATTTGGCTGCATTCATTTGGGTTTTAGACGAGTTGTTCTGTTCAGTTTTATAGTAGAAGCTCATTTGCAACCTCCACAGTTTCTTTTTATAAACGGCTATCATCATTCCCCCAGTCATTCACTGAAATGCACCACAGTTCTCGGGCTCGGTGCATGATGCTAACAGTATCAACAACAACAATATCAACATTGACTGCTATATATTAATTTATTTTTTTACTATTTCAAGTGGGTAAAATCTAGAGCACCTTTATTCTCTCAGCCCCTTGCCCCCAAAAACTTGTGTGTTAGACCTCAATCCTTATAGCCATTTAGAAACCCAGTTTCTCCACCATACTTAATGACATTATGTCAAATGCTATGAAAAATGAAATTGCGCTCGCTATGTCCCTGCTTCTTTTTGAACTCAGACTTTCAACACCTGATCGTGTCGGGTAATGACTGAAACTCAGACACGAGTGACTGTTGCAGAGATTTGTTTGTCGAACGACCACAAGAGGCTGGTTTGTGAGCTTTGCTGCTAGTGCCAACACTGCAGACTTTCTGTATACTGTGATGCTGGGATGGTAATGCTACTTTTTTCAAACAACGGAAAATGATGTGTATCCCATCTTTGCCAACACAGGTCACCTGCCTATTTCGCAACTGATATCACTTTAATAGAAATCTGAACCATGCCACAATTTCTTCATCTTATGCGGACGTTTGACTCCTCACGGTCGCTCATCTTTACATTTTCAACAACATATTTGTGTGTGGGGTTTTGTTTTTGTTAATAATTCTCAGTTATTGTCAAGATCATTTTATCGCCCAGCTCTGTTTCAAGACATGCAAGTGTTGGCTGCTAAAATTAATTTATATCTATTCATGCATGTAAATGGTTTGACATTCATCAGTTATGTTTTTATCCAGTTGTTTGAACACATTACATGTTATGAATTGTCATGTTTACGTGTACACCATGACCAGACCATAATCAGCAGATGTTTTATGATACTTTGTTTGCTTTTCCCTCCTCTCTGAACCTCTGTCCTTCATTTGTTTATTTCCGCTTCACCTACATCCCTTCTATATCCCCATTTATTCATTTCTCCCCTTCTTTGCCCTCCCTTTTTTGTCTTTCTCTCTTTTTCTCTCCCCTTCCTACAGAACTCCTCAGGCATCACTGTCCCAAAGCCTCCCAAGCCTCCAGACAAGCCACTGATGCCTTACATGCGGTACAGCCGGAAGGTAAGCAGGAAGGTAAGACACCCATCCACGGTGTCTGCTTTTACTGCTTGTCCTCCCATCCCCTGAAAAGGTGCAGCGGTTTGAGGGTGGGAGACAGCCAAGCCATGACGCCTCACCACCACCTCAACCATCTAGTGGAGACTTTCCACTCTGTTATCCCGTTGGCTTACAGTAGTCTCCAGTGTTTGTCAAGCGCTAAAAAGAAATAACAAGCATGTGCAAGCATGATCCGCTCCTGCCTCTTTATTTCCCTCCTTGTTTGGCCCTGTCTTCACCGCTTCTCTAGTTTTACGGCTGTAATTCTGCTTAAAGACAAAATCTACTATAAAGATTCATGTTGCCATAAAACCAGTGATTCTGTCTTTAGAAATATTTCATTCTATTCCATCCTGGCTTTTTGCAACACTTGACGCTTCACCTTTTTGCCAGTTAATAAATCTGTCCGCTAGATGCATCATTTAGGAGCCCTTTTTCTTATGCACTTTTCCTCCCTTTATTTCCTTCACTGCCTTCTAGTAGTATTATTTACAATTAACTGCACTTGACCTGTTCTGACCATATCTTTTGTTTGTGTGTGTGCGTGTGGGGGAAACGCTTCTGCTTGTGTACGTGTTTGCGTCTTGTGTTTGCGTGCACATGCAAGGTATGGGACCAAGTGAAGGCGTCCAATCCAGACCTGAAGCTGTGGGAGATTGGGAAGATTATCGGAGGCATGTGGAGAGACCTGACCGATGAAGAGAAACAGGACTACCTGAATGAGTACGAGGCTGAGAAGGTGAGTGGACAGACGGATGCAGGTCTGCACAGTGCTCCCTCTGTACTGAACTCTCCATCAATCAGGCCTTATTACAGCCACTTATTAAAAGCCATATAACAGCCTGCTTGCAGTTTGCCAAACAGCATTTAAAGGAGACTGAGAACACGAGGAAAATTATTCTCTGCTGTGATGAGACAAAAATTGAACCTTTTGGAGAACTCCATCTTAATTCTTTTTCTCTGGTCTCTCTCCCCCTCTCAGATTGAGTATAATGACTCTTTGAAGGCCTACCACAATTCCCCAGCCTACCTGGCTTACATCAATGCCAAGAACAGGGCTGAGGCCGCAATGGAGGAGGAGAGCAGGCAGAGGCAGAGTCGTATGGACAAAGGCGAGCCATACATGAGCATCCAGCCCGCTGAAGACCCTGATGGCAAGTCTTGCTTATGGATGTTTGAAAACCGCAGAGTATGTGTAAGTTACCTGTTAACCTCTTCCCTCATGATGGTCACTTAATTCTCCTCTTTATCTTCTGCACAGACTATGATGATGGGTTTTCAGTGAAGCACACAGCAGCCGCTCGCTTCCAGAGGAACCACCGGCTCATCAGCGACATCCTCAGTGAGATTGTGGTGCCTGACGTCCGCTCCGTGGTCACCACAGCCCGCATGCAGGTCCTCAAGAGGCAGGTCCAGTCTCTTATGGTGCACCAGGTAGGATGGCAGGACTAACCCTAACCCTTTGCCATGCCCGGAGAATATGTGGGCTGAAAGGAGCTCGGTGGCCTCTCCTGCTTCACCCTGTGTCTCTGGTTGATTTTCAGAGGAAGCTGGAGGCAGAACTTCTGCAGATCGAAGATCGTCACCAAGACAAGAAGAGACGCTTCCTGGAGACCACTGACTCATTCAACACTGAACTCAAGCGGGTACAACAGAACTCATTCACATAGACAGCTGAGTGTGTAGTGAGGAGGTGGTTTCAGATTGTTCAACATCCTTTCGAATAACTTTTAACCACAGACTGATTTTATTTAATTACCTGAACAAAATATGAACTTGATCACAAAGAAAGAATTATTACTCCTGATTTGTAAAAGACAAAAGTAGCATGGTCTTTTACAAACCACAATTTTAGGAAAATGAAAATGAGTCATAACACCTCATTTTATTTACATATATTTGTAAACCTGCAAGTTGTTCTTGCTACTTTGCCGTTACATTGGGACTCTTGTAAATTGAGAATTGAGTTGTGTTTTGAATCCAGTGTTTGGTGTGTCTCCAGCTGTGCAGTCAGAAGGTGGAGGTGGACATGGAGAAGCTTGCAGCAGAGATGGCTGCTGCTGAAGAGGCAGCCCGGCGCCGGGCAGAGGAGAGGGAGCGCGAGGCCGCCGAGCAGGCGGAGAAAGCTGCTCAGCAGGCTCAACAGCAGCAGCAGCAGCAACAACAACAACAACAACAGCAGCAGCAACAGCAGCAGCAGCAGCAACAACAGCAGCAGCAGCAGCCACAACAACAACAGCAACAGCAAGAGGCTGCTGGGAACAAAGCTGCAGAGCAGAGCAGTGCTAATGCTAAAAGCACAGCTAACCCCACTTCAGGGACCAAGGAGGAAGACATGCCCCCACCAGTGGCGACAGGTACGTGTTTGTGTTGATTTAATGTTTTATGTCTTTACCAGTGGTTCTCAAAGTGTGGTCCGAGGACCCCCAGAGGTCCTTAAGGTGGTTCCAGGGGGTCATTCATTTTCACTGTAATCCCATCCATAAGTAACACAATAAGAGAAGGTATGACTGCTTTGGTCATGGGTTTCAAGTGTTCAAACATTAATTTGGTCCTAAGCAAATATTTCTGTCTGTACTTTATTACCTCCACAGATAAAGCAGCACCTGCAGAGACCTCTTCAGAACCACATCCTGCTCCACCTCCCGCATCTGATCCTCCCTCTTCTGCCTCTGATAAAGCAACTCCTCCCCCTGAGCCTCCCAGGGAAAGCAGCACTCCAAGCAGCAGCACCCCGAGTGACGACAGCAGCAGCAGCAGCAGCAGCAGCAACAACAACAGCATGCCCGCTCCACCCTCAGACAGCACCCCTGGAGTAGCAGCCCCAGAACCCCCAGTGGCCCCCGAAGCTAATTCCAGTGCAGCTAACCCTAACGTCGTGTCCGCAGCACCTCCACCTCCCCCTGCCTCAGAAGAACCAGCTCCTCCTCCACCACCACTACTACCCCCTAGCCAGAGCAGCCAACAGTATGATATGTAATAGTCGGTGTGTTAGGTACACAGTGGTAGCTGTAGAAATCCTCCCTGTGCTGCAGCCCCCCACCTCTGGATGGAGCGGCAGGTGTGGAAGAAGTGGGATTTGTATGGTGGCTTTTAACACACAGTGCTGAATGGCTGAGGGTCTGTTAGTAAGTTCAGCAAATAGTTAACATGTATTTCAAACACGAGCTACTGTATGTAGGGTTTTCATCAACTAGCTTCATGCATCTGGACCAAACAAGGGGAAATTACGATTTTGCTTAAATCTGCGCATGTTTCCTTTAAATTTATTCAGCAAATGCGAGTGGGTTCAGTGACATGTCACCAAAGAGTACAAGATTTGACCAGACTGTGTTTGTACTCCAGGCATCATACGGGCCGTTCTTCTTTTCTAATTGTGTCACTGAAAGGATTTTTTTTTTCTTTTCTCATTCAAAATAACCTCACACAGACTGATGCTAGAGGGATGTTACACTGCAAATGGTTAGCAATAACCCTACTAGCTGCTGGGACATCATTGTACAGGTATCTCACTCAACACCTTACCTAATCTGCTCCTGCTTATTGTCCAAAATCCATCTGTTACCTCAGATACATTTCCAGTTGTCAGGGTCCACATTCACAATGTTGATAGTAATGCTGATTCTGAATAGGGCTGCAACTAACCATTATTTTCATTATGAATTTAATGTGGTGGTTATTTTCTCAATCTATAAAATATTTGAATTCAAACTTCCCAGGGTCCACAGCAACATCTTGGTTATCAGGGCACAGTTAAATGTTGCAGAGGTTGGGTGAGCCCAGCATTCATGTTAATCACTGGGCCCTGTGCCATCATAAATCCTCCTGCCCCATGGAAGGGAACACCATTCTTTCTCCCTGACTGGCCGCACCTTTAAACTTACTTGAAGTGATAGTTGGGGTTATTTGATGTGGGGTTGTGTGAAGCATTTATCTATAGTCGGTGTGTTGCCTGCAGTAGATTCAGATCGGCGATCTGCCAGGTTTTGAGAAGCAGTCCCCCAGCACAGATGCTGAGCGATGAGCTGCTGCAAAGTAAATGTGTTTCAGCTACTTTAAAAAAAAATGCTCACAGAAAAAGCTAATATCAGTTTAATTGTTGCTTTAATTTGAAAGTTTTCACAGCTTTATCTGCCGTCAAACAGCCCTTTACTTTAGAACTACAGTTTGTGAACCATTGAACTATATTACTATGCACAAGTGCAATCTGCAGATCAACTGTTTGAGTCATAAACGGCTAAGCATAGGTGCGTATGTGCGTAGGAATACAGTAGTTCAACAGTTGAAAAATATTTAGTTTCAAAGGAAAGGGCTGTTTGACGGCAAAATAAAGCAGTGAAAATTTCCAAAAAAAAAGCAACACTTAAACTGATATTAGCTTTTTTTGTGGGCAGCTCATCACTCAGCTTCTGTGCCGGTGTTTCTGCTGCTTCCCTTAACTCACAGCGCACTGATCTGAATCTAGTGCAGGTAACACACTGACTATAGATAACTGCCTCACACAACCTCGCGTCAAATAACTCGAACCATCACTTTAACGTGCTTGTAAGCAAACAGTAAACATTTAGCGGCTTCACCCACCTTTTGAAATGTCTTGTTTTCGACCAACAGCCCAAAACCCAAAGATAATCAGTTTACAAATTGTGACGGGGAAAAAAAGAACACTTTCACGTTTTCAGAGGTTGGACATTTTTGCTTGCAGCAAGTTACTGAAATGATTAATTGATTATCAGAATAGCTGCCTATTATTTTTCTCTTGATAGATGAATCACCTTGGCTCTAATTACGTCTCCCTGCTGTTGTTAGAAGGGGAGTCATGTCATGTAGCAGTGTGTACATTCTTCTATGGTACAAACTTGTCTGTGATACAAAGTAAAGACACCGGGATGAAGTGACTTTAGGAGTTGTTTGCAGGGAGAAGGCATTGCTGTTTTTTTTTTTCAAATACATGCATAACTTCCACTGTGTAGACTTAATACTTTTGGATGTGGCTGAAATGTTTGAATACTCCTCAGTTCTCATGTATAAACCTTTAAATCAGCCCTTGTACTTTTCTGAAATAAGACCACAGGGGTTTGATTATATAGTTCACGTTCAGCGCTGGGCGGATTTTCTGGTGTTGACGGTCAACAATGCATGAAAGGACCCACCACCCCTCCGCCTTCCTCCCTTTTAAAACCCCTGAATTTTCTACTTTGTCATTTTGTTTGATGTGCAAAACAACTACTGTTAGTTCTACTTTGTGTTTTAGAGATCTAGTGGAACCTTTTAGACAAATATAATCAAATTCAGCCTTTGTATTAAACCTGTACTCTTTGAAACAGATGCCATTTCTAAGACATTTCAGTTTAACTGGAGACGACACGTCTGGTCGTCATGGAAGTGACAAGTTTCCAGGTCTGGGGGAAGCCACGTTTTAATTATTTGTGCACCCATAGTCTGCATGCTATACTAAATACTAACCATCATCCTGTAAGCATTTGAACAATAACTGAAGTTTTAGTGAAAGAGTTGAGGCTGAGCATAACTGTTTGTTGAAATTTAAATGTAGGACAAAACTCATAATGTGTGCAAGAAACAGAAAAATGAAGTGATGGGCTCGTTCGTCTCTGAGGTGCTTCTTATAATCTGTGGATGATAAAAATGACCTGCGTTGAGTATAAAAAGTCAACATGGATGTTTGTTCCCTGTATTCATCACATTTATGTAGAAAGAGCTGACACATACTCAATTAGCATTTAATCTGTAACGTTTAATCTGTAAGAGTTTCTCTACAAGTTGAGACCATTTTCTTAAAGACTGCATTACTCCTTTAGACTGGATATTCCCGTTAACACCACAAGTGTTCAACAACTTCAGCAGAGAAATGCACAGGCTACCCTCATCCAAATGTAACCTCAGTCACTTATGCATTTAAAGGACTATTTTCTTACTTGAATTGGACTGTTTTTAGTAATATGCCTCTGTTTTTTGCATCTTTTTTTTGTACTGTCTAAACTTATCTATCCAAATAAAGGTGATTTCTCAGTCGTTGGCTGTCTGACGTTTTTCTGCTACACCAGCAGGTGATAGTAGTAATTTTCTTTTTGTAATATTTTCCCATAACTTTGGAATTAAATTTGAAAATCAGATCTTAATTTATCTTGGTTGAACTTTTTTTTTTTTTTACTCATTATTTGGGGGTTTTAATGTTTTTTATTTTTCCAATGTGGTTGTTCACTGTAGTTTCCTGTACAATATACAGTTTACTTTCAAAGGAAAGATAATAGTACACCATAAACCATAATAGTGAAGATACAGATAAACAGTAAATACAATCAAATAAAATAAAAAAATTTAGAAAGTGCAGTGAGCTCTATATATCGAGACCCAAGTGTTTGATTACAATTATGTTATCAAGAAATTACTATAAACCAATAAACTTAAAAACCCAGCTCAATATTTTTAAACATTAATTCATCCTGCTGTGTTTATGCACTGGATTAATTCATACTGTCTAATGTGGAACACTCACCATTAATGTGTATTAATGTACACAGTATGTGCAGATGTAGTCTTCCATATTCCTGAGAAAAATAAGTATATACTATACTGCATCTGTATATGATAGCATATAAAACAATATTATGGAGTATTAAACAATTTAGTAAAAAAACATTAAGCATGTGTATAGAAATGCATTTATATGTGAGGTTTACATGCAATGCAGTTTATATTATAAAGTAAAAGTGTAAAATAAAAGTATATATAGTATAAGTATATAATGCAGAATGCAGAAAAAATCCTTAAAAATCCTGCTTTTTAATTCTATATTTAAAAAAACTTATTTCCTGAATTTATTTCACTGCAGCTAAATTAAGTCAAAGTGGAGCTCTGGAGTTAGTCTCTGCATAGGGACTTGTGGCCACCAGGGGGCTCCAGACTAGAGACCTCAGAAGTTGAGGAAAATATGTATTGCAGAGACAAGGTTGTGATTTTGCTGGTATTGGTTTTACCTCCACAGACTCCACTGTTGCGTGTGGAAAAATTATAATAACTGTAAAAAGTAATGCATCATTTTAAAACATTAAGAATGTTTTTTCGAAAAGGCCCCAAAAAAAGCATTGAAGTTAACAACATACATCTTCCTGACAGTAACCGATCTGGTATCACTTCATAATATTGGTACACATGTTGAACTAATGCACGAGAAATACTTGACTCAGGATAATTGAATTAATTTATTCAGGATGTATCATAAGATAATGATTGATTACCTTATAGCTGATTGATGGTACATCCTGCATTAAACCGTATCCATTATTTAAGCATGTGTTTTGAACCCTTATTATAAAGCGTATGTAGTTTGTACTCACTATATTTACTTGCAGCCTATAATCTTCAGCAGAATCCATTTGTCTACTACACTAAACTAAACTAAACTAAACTCATTTTCTTGACAGTATCTCATCTCTTCAGTATAAAGACCAGCTCATTTTGAGTTGTGGAGTTACTTTATATTTATAAAGTTATTGAAGTCTACTGCTGGCTACTTCCTGTATAGCCTTGATGAATGAATGAACTGAGCCTCGGTTCAGTGTCACCCCGAACTGACGCGCATGTATGAGCGTCACTGACGCCCGTGACTGTGGGAGGAGACGCTCACTGGAGCGCAACAGATAAACACACGGACAGTGTTGATGTCGGTGCGGGTAACCTGTCCACCATGAGCCACCGGTACTGTGCGCTCAGCTGCCTCCGCGTCGCGCTCGTCCAGCTGCCCCTGCTGCTGCTTCTCACGCATGGTCCGGGGCGCGTCGCGGAGCTGGCGGTGGCGGCGGAATACTCCTCCAAAACCGACTTGGACTACGAGTTCGGGGACTACAGGGGCAAGTGGTGTATCGACGACCACGGTTTCGTCTACGGCATCGGAGAGGTTTATTACCCGAGCCCCACGGCGTGTCCGTGCACGTGCACCGTGGACGGTCCCGTGTGCGTCCGACCCAAGTGTCCCCGCATCCACCCCCGGTGCACGCGGATCAGATATAAGGCATGCTGTCCAGTGTGCGAGGCTGTGGCCAGGGTCTGTGTCTACGGGGGCAAAGTTTATCGGCTTCTAGAGGAATTCAGGGTGAGAAAGATCCAGTCACCCACCGTCACCCCACACCACCCCCTCCCATTGACAAGTTCACAAAGCTTCAGGTGCAGAGCTGCAGCTGCTCAGTGATCGTGCGTCATTTCAGATTTACGCACATCACCCATCCGTATGTGATTTCCTTGTATTGATTTAACCCTCTGTAGTTACTTAACATTACGTTATTTCTCATTTATTTTGGTTGCATGACATAATATTTTGCACATGTAAACTTTCAGGTGTCTGTTGACACTAAATGTGATTTTCTACTGTATCCATATAAAATTATCATTATGTTCATAAAGACTATGGATATTTGGATATTATCCTTGCTGTATGTACCCTGTTGCCTTTAGGTACCCATCAAATCCAGTGCACACAGCAGAATACACATGGTGCTGCACTGGTGTGTGTCAGTTAGTTTGTGGTTTTGTGTTTTCTTTTATGAAGAAATAGGCTCAGAATATGAAAAATAACTGAAAAAGCAGAAGTCTTAAAGCTACAGAAGCTCTATGAGACAGGGCACAGGATTAGGTGTTAGGATAAAACATCTGTGTCTGCATAATCCAGCCTGTAAATATTCCCCTGCTTGGAAGTTCTCCTGATTTCTTGTCTTACAACTCTCACACCAGTTTTAACCAGGGCTGCGAGAAGATGTTTTAAGTTGGGGTTGCTGTAGTGGGAGGAGCATTTTACCCCAACCCATACAATATGACCCATACAAATACAACATAGGCCCTACAACAATACTACTGCAACACAGACCAAAAAAGCACCATCGGTAACAACAACAGCAGCCAGGTCTATAGACACACTCTTACTGAGCAAATGCTATTGCACAATACTACCATAACATTGCAATGTCCAAAAGTCTATTGCACAAGGCACACAAGAACATATTCAAATGTGCACATTTTTTCAACAAAGGTATATCAGTGTGATGTTAAAAGTAACGGAATATTAAACTGCTCGGCGGCAGCTTGAATGAAATGATTTACCTTGAGCTGCGGGCCAGGTGCTCCAGTAGTTGTAATAATCCATATGTGGCCTTCCGCTAACGTGTTATGGAAATGAAGTCTCTCATAAGGGCATGGATGTCCAATGAGTTCGAACTGTCAGTGTGGACATGCATCAAGGAGAGGTGAGTTTGTCTCTTCTGGGTCTTGGTAGTGCGGAGTCATGTTTTCACGCCATGCAAGGTGGGGCACCAAATCAAGCGGTGTCCCTCTGCTACATTTTCACGCAAGCAAAACACACTACCGGAAGACACTCCGACCACTTCCATCTAGCAAACCAAGTTGGTGTAAATGCACACCTGAAAGTTTCTGTGTCGAAACGTCTGGCCGGGAAACTGAAGTGGGGTGGCTGGAAAGGCTCCTCAAATACCGCCAAGTCAGTCCTAGCTTGACACCTGTTAGCAGCAGGCTCCTCGCTGATAGTCCGGCAGGTGTCTTCGTCTCCAAGGAAAAAATACAACCAAACTAAAACTATGTGGCGCTGTTAGAGCTGCTCTCCTGGGAAGAATCGACTTCATCTCTCTTTAGCTGGTGGTTTACCAAAAAAAAATGCAATACGTTTTTCCTCCGTTTGATTTTACCCTTAGCTATCAGTGCAACAGCAGCAGGTTGTAAACTTTTTATGTACAGTCTATGGTTGTAAACATACAGCTCCTACCATAGAGTTGACATGACCCGTCCTACACTGCCTCTGATTGGCTAATAATCACCAAGTAATTTGATTGGAGAGGCTAATATAGAGTATAACCATAACAGCAGTGGGGCTTTTAACTACGTGTATCACTCCGCTTTACAGGTGTTCTATTAACCGTTAATTGGCGTTACATTAACGGTCGTTATTATCTTAGATTGTAACAAACTTTGCAAAGATTTATATATTTCCAGAAATAACATTTGAATTAAATTATGCGTGGTCATCAGAAGAGGATGAGGGGAAGAAGTCTGGATACTTCAGCGCTCACCTGAGGTAACGTGTAGACGAAGTAGCAAGCTGTGTGCAGGTCAGGTCAATGTGTTGCTAGCAACAGACCAGTCCAGTTGCGGAACTATTTGTGTTGGCGTAGCCACATAAATGATGAAATAAACAAACAAATCACAATCTGTTGTTGCTTATTTAACTACTGTGGTGGCGCTTGTAGAACTGTTGTGTAAAAGCAATATCACACTAGAGGTGGTGGCGTACTGAATATTAGCACGGCTGTGATTGTCTTCGGTACTGCGGCCTCGTATCTATGACCGAATCACAGCCGTGCTGATATTCAGTACGCCACTCCCTCTCGCGTAATATTGCTTTTGTCTTTGCTGGTTGGATTGGTAAGGTTTAGGCATGAGGAGTGAGAATGGTTAGAGACAGCGTAAGAAGTTATTAAGAGTAAAACTGGTCAGCACTATATAAAAAAAAAAAGAAAAAAAAAAGTATGCTCTCGCCACTAGGCGGCCTACTTCCCGCGGCCATGGTTTTGGTTTTAACATAAAAACCTCAACGTTTTATTGTTTTGAGTTTTTTTTTACAGCCACTGTTCTGTTACTTGCCCTGCAAATGGTTAATACAGTTATGGCTCTCAATGCAAAGCTTAAAGCACTACAGAGAAAATAAAATGTAGTGTTCAGTCTCACTGCTCACATCAACACACTTCCCAGCCACAGCAGGCAGCTTTTTAAAGGTTCCATATTTTGCATCTTATTGTGCTTTGATATCCATATGAAGATATATTTGTGATTTTAAGATCCAAAAACTACCTCAATGTAGTTTTACATCCTCTCTCTCAAGCTTCTCTATGGAGCTCTAGTAACAGCAGGTTGGTGAGCTGATTTTGTTGTTTTGCCTCCGCACCAGCGACAGCCAGGGCCGGAGCCATATTGTTTTCGGATTGTCCGTCCGTCTGTCCATCACATTCTCGTGGACACGATATGTCAGTAACACCTTGACTGAACTCTTCAAATTTGGTGCAAACATTCACTTGGACTCAAGGATGAACTGATTAGATTTTGGTGGCTAAAGGTCAAAGGTCAAATATAAGGATCATGACCTCACAAAACATGATTTTTGCCTTGTGAATGCAGTATCTCCATTAGGCCTTCAGGGAATCCCTTCAAATTTTGCACAAATGTCCACTTAGACTTCGATTTAGGATGAACTCATTAGATTTTGGTGGTCAAAGGTCAAAAGTCAAGGTCAGTGTGACCTCACAAAACACTTTTTAGCCATTACTCAAGACTTAACACAGGAATTATGACAAAATTTCACACAAATGGTTAATATTTTATATGACTCTGGATAAACAGGTTGGCGGAGGCATACAACCACGAGGAGGTGATTCTAGTTTTGGTTTGGTGACAAAGATGTTGCTCACATATTGTGTTAAGAATTAATCTGACAATGACAGCCCATCCTGGTAGAGAACATGCAGCCTGCTAAATATGAATGAGAGTTTGTGAGTGAGTTATAAGCCAGGTCTATTAGCTGCTTCAGTCTCATTTGTGCTGTTGTGTCATCATGTCAAGAAACAGGAACTATACTGACCCGAGGGCATGTGCTCAGTGGGCGGACAGATGATCTGTTTTATGTAATGGTGGTGTATTAAAAAAAGTCCATCCAACTAGTCCAATAACACTAGATACAGATAAGCTGCGCCTGTGCATGTGGTATGCAGGTCTAGTCACATCCTTTCTGTACTACCGGTCACACTGAGCTTACCCATCACTTCCCCCATGGTCTCATTCGTCTACTGTAAATACACTATACTGTCATAATTAACTAGACAACACTGACACGTCAAGTAATCTAATGTAAAAGCTTGAAGTCAGTGAAATTCTAATGGTTTGTGTGTTCCAGTTGTCGAGATGTGAGCGATGTCGCTGCGAGGCCAACAGAGAGGTGTACTGCAGCATTTCAGACTGCCCCGCCCCTCACTGCGTCAACCCCACCTACGAACCCAACCACTGCTGCCCGATCTGTAAGACGGGTAAGTCTCAGTCACTGCTTTCTTTCTGTCAGTCAAACACTTTGGTCTGTGACTGGGTATCACTGTCACTAATTTCAGGATGTCCATTATATTTGTTTTTTATGGTCCCTAGAAAACAACTAATAGTTTTTCACCCTTTTTGTGTATGTGTTGTGACTTGTTATTACTATATTCATGGTGTTTGAAAACCAGGAGCCCACTGTACAGTTCTTGTGGAGTCCGACAGCTTCATGGGAACCAACAAATTTAAAAGGCTATTTGAGGGTTAACACTTGGTTTAAGGGTTAGGGTAAGGCATTTAGTTGTGATGGTTAAGTGTTGGGGTAAGGGGCTGGGAAATG